ACGACGAGGAAATCGAAGTAACATACCTACAACTCATACGAACTTCTGCACTGTGAGTACAGAGATAAATTCCGCAGTGGTAGAGGTTAATTAAGGTAGGTGAACTATGGAAAAATTTAAGAAAATTGATAATAAAAATTTGGACGTAACATGCCCGGAATAAAATATTGAAAATCGTTTAATGATTGCGAAAATTAGACCAATGGCTAACAGCGTCACTGGCTTCTCTAGTGTCGCCATTTTTGGCTATTTTGGCTAAAAGTGAGAAATTGAAAATAGAATCAATTTCACTTATTTATATCTGAGCCATCCTCAATGGATCACATATAATAATTATTTTGGGAATCAGAGAAAACCTGGAGAATTTTGTAGAAGGAATATTTTTGGGATCCATAATCATTTTGAGTAATATTTTTGCAAATAACGAAATTCAGATAATACCGTCTTTGTAAAGTGTGGAAGCGTGGTGATTCAAGGGACGCATTGAAATCACACAACCTTGTATCTTCCTCATTGAATATTGATGTAATTTTCGTTCATAAATTAAATTTGAAATATTTACTTTGTATTAGAAGGCCCAAACAACAACTTAAATTACTGAATAAATATTATTTCGCTTTGGTGAATTGGAAAATATCTCTTTCAGTTTATCTGGCCCTAATAAATGATTTAGCCCGAACAGATTCAATTAGTTTGTAGTAATTGGTAAACGAATAATTTCAAACAATTTAATGACATTTTTGGACTTGTGATAGTACTTTCGGCCCGAACAAAATTTCAAAGTAAGTATATTCAACAATAATTTCATGCCAAAATACATCTATTGTGGAATATCAACATTGTACGTGATGTAAGTCTACAAGACCGTTTCAACTCAATTAGTGTGGAAAGGTAATTGAGAATTTTAGTGAAATAAATGATTTAATTTGGTTGCAACGTCACAATATTACACTGGTGTCACGACATTAATTCTCAACACTCGGAAGGTGTCAATACATCGTTTATTTCGATATTGAACTACCGTTAACATCATTTTTATTGACCCTCGATCGCTTGCTCAATGAGCGCGGCGTCGACCGTTTTTTAATATTTTAGCGTGTTTTTCGACGCTTAAAAATTTTGAAAAAATTAGAGTACCCAGTTTAATCCTTTCATTAAACGTTGACGTTGTCCGCATTTTTCTCGGGAAATATGTTTAGCTAAAAAAACGTCGAATAGACAGGACAGCGGTGCCGCGCCGTCCGGTGCGAGTGAGTCTCTGTCAACTGCTCGAGCGGCAGTGTTACTACTTTCACTGCCACACTTGAAATGCACGCATAACTGCCCGTCGGCGTCAACATGGTAAAAGCGCGCTTGGTTTACTCAGCGCTAACCGTGCAACGGATGATGGCTGGCGGCCGAGCGCAAGTGATCGAGGGTTAACATGCAATCAAACTTGAGTTATAGAAAAATGTTGTGACGGAATTTTGGAAAAGTGCCGCCACCTGTACGTGAGCTTACCGTAGGAGAGAAAACTTCACGCATTTTTATTGAATAAAATTTTGAAGAGTGAATAAGTGGCGAGTAAAGATTATCAATAAGAGAGAGAGAGAGTCGCGATTTTTCCTCCCCGAAAGTTAACACCCCTACCGAAGGGAGATGCAATGCCCCTATTTCTAGCTCTTGTATGCGCACAAAGACCTTCAAGAACGTTAGGACACCAGCGCTGCGGAAAAGCTAACGCTCAATTCAAAGGAAAATACGGAAAAAAATAAATAAGAGTGTCCACCCACGTTAAAAGCAAAAATAATTCATTTATTTATTTTAATTTCTAGTCGATTTTCAGTTATTTTTGGAGTTAGGGGAAATTGCAATTTCGGTTATTACAGTTTAGGGTAAATTTACGGTTATTTGTTGGGTGTATGACTTAATTTTTACAGATTTTTCAGCAAATTTATTCAATAGAAAAAAGTAGAGAACAACGAACTTAATCTTGGAAATATCGTCCATCGTGTTCTATGACCTTGCGCTATCTCTCAGGTAATATACGAATGCCGTCGCGAAAGAAACTTGCAGGCTTCGAGACGATGAAGTCATCGACGAATTTACGCACATCGTCCAGCGTTTTGAACTGTTTATTCACTAAGGCATGCTGCATTAACCGGAACAAATGATAGGCGGATGGGGCCAAATTTGGTAAATATGCCGCGTGCGGGAGAACTTCCTATCCCAAGTTCAAGAAAGTCTTCTGAGTCGCGCAAGCAACGTGAGGTCGAGTATTGTCATGACTTGTCTACTTCCTTGCCCAGCAAATGGCCTTTTCCGATCAAGTTTTTCGCTCAGCTTGTTAATTTGTCGGCTGTAACGTTCCGCAGTTAACGTCTGACCAGTTTCCAGGAGTTCGTAAGAAAGAACACTCTTCATGTCCCACTAGGTACACAGAAGAATCTTCTTTAAATGGATGTTCTGTTTCGGCGTCAATATACTGGGTTGCCCGGGATCTACCCACGACTTTTTACGTTTGGGATTCTCGTACAAAATATACTTTTCATCCACAGTCACAATTTTATGTAAAAAGTCTTTCTGTTTAAATCTGGTCAGTAGGCACATGGCAGTTTCACAGCGTCGCCTTTTGGAAAAGATCTGTATTGATTTTTTTTATAAATAAATGTCAAAAATGTCGAAAAAAGGCCGAGAATTAAGTCATACACCTAATATAATTTGGTGTATTCCTTGCTAGCCTTCGTACATCTTTTCTGTACTCTCTCTATCCTCTCCTGTCTCTTCCATTCCCAGAGTTCCACACTACAAAGAGCTGCATCCTTTACCGTCACCCCCATAAAGTAGTCTCTTCCTTAGACTCTTCAACTTTCCTCTCTTCATCTCCCCCCATACTTTGTTTAACTTCACTGCGTCTTTCGCGTATGAGTTCTTGGTCGTGAAGCAGAATCCTAAGTATTTAAACTCGTTAACCACTTTTAGCCTTTCCCCCTTATACACCCAGCTCTGCGTTTTCCACTTGTCAACGTTCCTAAATACCATTATTTTAGTTTTTTCCACGCTTACCGTCAATTTGTTTTCATATGCCCACCTCTCCAATGTTCTCAGCATTTTTGCTAGTTCTGTTCCCTCTTTAGCCACTAACGTAGCGTCGTCTGCATACAGCAATGAGTAAATCTTCGCTCCCCCGAGACTGTGCGAATTGTCACGCCTCCATCCTTTTTCTTCTCGAAAGCCACCGCCATTGGGGACGCTCAATACCGGTGGCGGCGCTGTTATCAGCCGCAACATAGCCGCCTTTCAAGTACAGCTAACGGCGCATTTTTCGAACACATGTCATGTGGGTAGGGAACAGATTCAAACCGGCAAATCCGATAAAATAGTGAAAAATGAAGACAATATTTTTGAGAGACATTTATAAGTACGCTGAGGCTAATGCAGATTCTCGTAATATGATAGAAGGAGAGAGTGTTCTAAAGTCTGGAAATATGTTATTAATTGGACTATGTGAAAAAACCCAGAGTAAATTCGTATTGTACTGCCTGTGCCAGCAGTCGAGTGCAATAAATGACCATCCTCACACAATTGAGGGTGTTCTGAGGGTGAAGGGCACTGACAGTAATATTGTCGACATTGCACAAATGAAATGCAGTTGCAAAGCAGGGTTAGGTGGAAAGTGTAAACACATCGTAGCAGTATTGCTTTACTGTAGCCAGTGAGTGATTCTTTTCATTTTTCTATGATTAAATGCACATTATTTTATATTTTATCTTAATCTCCTGTAACCCCTCCCTCGCAGGCATGATATTTCTAATTTGGAGTTAGTTTCAAGCACTGACATGAAATGCACGTGGAAGAATTTAAAAGGACGAGCTCTAGAACGCTACAAACCCTTGCCTGTATCCACTTTCTGCTGTTACCATAAATCTACCTCATTATCCTTGTCCAGTGAAAAGAAGATGCTTGTATTTGACAGATTGATGTCGTGTGATGATCACAGCATAATTAATCAACATAGATATCGTAATATTGATCCTGACTCCTCTGAACCTACTAATTCGACTCACTGTCAACTAGCACCTGCAACTCCCAATGTCTCCCCAAATTTTGAGTTCATTAAAGCCTTGCTAGCTAATTCTCTGCAGTCTGCAGCTATGATGAATGTATCCAATCTCCCTACCATAATGCAACCGTGCTGCTCGCAAATTTATAACACTATTATAGCTGCTTGTGATATTCTAGATGTTGCAATTACCACCCAATCTAATACAATACTATGGCAAAAAGCAAGACAGTTTCGAGTCACTGGAAGTAGATGTTATGCACTTTTTACATATTCTAAGTTGGATTGGGAGACGAAGACAAGTTCATATTTCTGGCCCAAATCTTTCTCCAATAAATATACTAAGTTTGGAATTCAGAATGAGCCTCGTGCTCGTCAATTGTATAACCTGAAGAGGAATGTAGAAGTTCAACAATTTGGTCTCATCACTTCTCACCAGAATCCCTGGCTTGCTTATAGTCCAGATGGTGTCGTTTTCAGAGCCCACATTCCTTCAATATTAATAGAGATTAAGTGTGTGTATGATTTACCTGATTTCTCCACTGCATCAGTACTCAAATGTTGTAGTAGGTGGTTGCAATTGGTTGGTGATAAGATTTGCTTGAAGGAAAAATGTGGTTCCAATGGACCAGTCCCATGGGGAATGGCCCTGCTCAACTTGCCTGTCTGTCACTTGGTAATTTATTGTAAAAAGCTTGATGATATCAAAATTATTACAGTAACATATAATGAAAAATTTGTATGCAAGCTGCTTCCCAAATTGAAACTTGTTTATTTTTCAAAGATGCTGCATGTATTGTGCAAACACAAACAATTTCAAGACTCGATTAAAAATTAAAAAAATTTATTTTCATTTGTATGCAAAGTTACACTTACAAAAAAAAATGTTTTTCTTCCGTATACCCTCGGGGTCTTTACGGTTTGTTCCCATCCCACCCCCCAACCCCGCTGTGCCGCATTCGCCGAAGGACGAGGGAAAACCTCACCCTGAGGGAAAAACCTGACCAGGCACAGTTGTCTCTTTTTACGAGACTACCGCTCGGCTATTACCGTGAGATTAGAGTTTTAACAAATTTTGGCCCCCCCGGCCGGGAATCGAACCCGGAACCTCTCGCATGTCAACCCCGACACTCTAACCACTTATAAATACACTTATAAAGTTACACTTATAAATTTTATCTTATTTCAGTTGTATTTTCAAATAAATTTATCAAATGTCATGATCGGTGTACCTAAATTAGCCAACCCTGCACATACATTGACAATATCATCAGTACTTGCAATCAAATTCCATGGGATTGTACTCTGAAGTATTCCAAAATCTCGAATTCTTTGATTCATGCGTTCGACGTGAACTCGAGCTGCAGCAATAAAACGATTATAAATAGCTTCGGCTGGAGACAATTGTTTCTTCTGTTTTAAAAATGGTGGTATAAATAATTGAACGCCTCGATTCATACAAAGATCTTCAATTTGAAAGCCCTTATCGGTCATCACAGCATCACCCTTCTCTACTAAATCAATAATATTACTTTGTTGAAATATCGCTTTGTCAGAGGCTCGTCCACCGTAACCTTTGCTCAGAAATGTTAACATGCCTCCTGGACTCACCCCTGTCATGAACTTGGCTGTGAAATTCGATTTGTATTGGGAATAAAATTTTATTCGACACTGTAAACATTTCGGTTTGTGAACTCTAAATTCAGTGCAGTCTACGATTACCCTAGTGTTTTGGAAATGTTGGAAACATTTTGGAATATTCCTCCGAATTTCCTCTCTAGAGACCCATCGAATCGTACATTTAAGTATCTCAGATAATTTTGGCAACATGCTATGGAAAATTCTTCGACAGGTTGGTTCTTCAACACTTTTGAACATAATGCCCAGAGCCGAAAATGGTAAATTCAATTTCAATTTCATGGTCGTCAAAATTACGCGATCTTTCAATGTCATTTTGTGAGCCCTAACTTCTGGGTATAACTCAGAGATTAGTGCGACTAATTCGTTTAGAATTGCATGGTTCCGGATACCACACATTACATTCAAGTGACGATCAGTCATTATACACATCGAGAACGGCATCAAGATATCTCCACTTTGAACTTGAACACCTTTCTCTGTACTCTCTAAAGATGTTGTTTGCGTATTTTTATCCTCAAATTCAGATGAAGTTTGGGTGAATTCATCTTGACACTCAAGAGCTGCATGGGATACTGATTTTGTTGTTTGTAGATCTTCAATCGATCTCTCCTCTGCAAAGTCATCGTCCGTCGCAACTGCCGGTGGACGGTCGATGCAGTTTTCTTTTCCACAAGAAACATTTCTATTAATAGTATCCATTCCCTCCGCAATGTCTTCAAATACTCCCAACAGATTTTTCCTCGCATCAATAGTGTCTGTGATCAACGTTTCCACCTGCAAACAAATTTTTACATCGATATTTACAAACAGTTTTGGTATTTGTGGTTCAATTGAACCTAGCTTAGGAAGTCTCCACGTTCCGAGATCGGAATGAGGTTCAACCAAGAGTTGGTTATTCTTTTTTGTAAATTGGATTGTAATTTATTTATGATCTATTGATTAGTCCTTGAACATTGTAATAATGATCACTTTTACTTTTCAATTATTAATTGTTAATTGAAGGGTCATTTAACATTCTCCTAATGATAATAGAACTATTTTGCAACCCGGTAAAAGTCCCAAAATCAATATAACCATGTTCAGAGCCCTCAAGGGGCCGGCTCTCGACCCAGAGGAAATCCCAGAGATATTTATTTATTTGATAATGAAATTTTTAATTATATTTCATTATAAAATAAATATACAACTTTGGGATTTCCTCTCTGGGTCGAGAGCCGATCCCAAGGGATCGAAGAAGGTTACATTAAGGTTGAGACCTTCCCTGGGCTGGGAGATAATCCTACTATCATTTACACAGTGTTAAATGACTCCTCCATTAATAATGAATAATTAAAAAGTAAAAATCATCATTATTACAGTGTTAAATATGCCCTTAATAGGGATAGATGGATTAAAATCCAATTTTATAGAAAAAAATTACTGACTCCCGGGATTGATCCACCAGAGCCTCCATCCAACTGTTCAATTATACTTAAATGTGTTTCTTACCAGAACAAAAAATCAAACATTCAAACCTGAAATTTAGAGGTACTGCCTTCACTTCCAGGAGACTGATAATCGTTCTTTTCCTTATCTCGATGGAATTCAATGTTTGTGGCGGGGGATGTCTCATTGGCCTGTAATCTTTCATCACTTGTTGGCAAATTCCGACTTGGCAATGCATATGAATTCAATGTAATCCGTTTACTTCCAAAATCTACAATCAAATCGATAATGGTTACATGATATGATGTCGATTTAAATTGAGAACAATTACGTCTTTCGAGCTTTACTCCACTCCGAGAACGAATTTCAGTAAAATACATACCAGGCAACGAGAAATCTTCTCGTGTGAAATGTAAGCTACAAATCCTTGTTGCTGAGTTTACTTTATCAATTTTAGACCTTGATTTCCATTGTTCATAACGATCAATGGTTACTTTTTCAACAGTATCCAATCGTTTCACAAATAATCGATTTCTGTTTGGAAGAGCATGGTAACTCAATCCATCACTGTTGGACGATTTGGACATGCATCCCTTCACATTGCACTTGAACACCTTTTTTCTAGCACTTTTATTCGTAGGATTCCGATCTTTTTCCATTGATGACATAAATATGTAATAAAATATGGAAAAGACACGGAATGGAGCAAAAGTAACCAGCAAATTGGAGTAAACGTATACACGCATATGCTCATGTCAACAGAACCCGTTGGACGGCCATTTTTTGTAGTTGCTGAGGCCCCCACTAGGTATCGTATTCTTATTAAGCGTCCCCAATATCTTGGATGAATAAAGGGCAGTCCTGTCTGACTCCTTTTCCCGTCCGGAACCTCTCTGTCAAACCATCCCTGACTATCACCCTATTTCCCATGTCTTCATAAATTCTCTGCATCATCCTTAGGAATTTCCCCTTGATTCCCGGATTCATCTTTTCCCAGAGTCTGCTCCTGTCAACCTTATCAAAGACAGCCTTGAAATCTATAAACCCCACGAATAGCTTCCCACTTTTTTTTCAGCCTCGTGCCTATCAACGTATTCAGAACAAATACCTGTTCCATCGTGCCTCTCCTACTCCTGAATCCAGCTTGTGCCTCAGACTTCTCCTCCACTTCCAGCCACTCACCGAGATTTCGAGCCATGATATTCGCAATAATTTTGTATCCTATTCAGCTGCCTCCTCCCTGTTCCAGTCTACTTCAAATCTCAATGGTAGATCGTCTGATTCCTGTTGGTCCACTGCCTTCATTTCTTTAAACCAGTGTGGGGCCTCGTCATCCTCCAATTTAACTATAATATAATCCAACACACTTCCCAAGCCTGCTCCCTCACCTATGAAAGTTATCGTTCCTTCTTCATCATCCTTAACTCTTTCATTCTGAATCAGGACTGCCCTCTCCTCGAACAATCCAGTAGTTTTCTCGCTTCGTCTCTAATTGTTCTTTTGCTGTGAAGTCCTCTTTTTTATCCTTGCCCATCTCTCCATCCCACATTCTGCCAAGCCTTGCTTATCGCCTATCCTCGCGTTTGGGCCCCTTGTGATGATCAGCTTTGCCTCTGAAGCTTCCATCTCCTCCACCAGTACTTCCAACTTCCTCAATACTTTCAATAAATTATTTCTCATACTATTATAAGTGCTTATCACTGCGTAGTGAGCACCATTATTTTCGCTTTTATTGTCAATTTTAGCCCGTATTCCCATTCTTCCAGTCCAATCTGCCTCCAGGGATTTCTTGACGCACATGAGGTGTCCTCCCCTTGCTCTTCCTTTTTGATATACCCTATTTGCCTCCTTTCCAAACCACTCATTCCTTATTGAGCCTATCTATCATCCTATTCATTCCCTTGGCCTCCAAGTGGGACGCCTGAAACATCACTATATCCATGTCTTTCCAAAGATCCTCATTTTTTCCTATATTTCCTGCGTTTTCCACATTCCAGTGCAATAATTCTAGTGATCTGCCATCTTCCTGTTTTCTGTCCCTTGCCTGCGGTTTAAAAGGCCCCCCTCCTCTCCCCGCTGCCTCTGTCTGCCTTCTGTCTCGTTTCACCGGCCAACTCATCTCAATCCAACTAGACTTCTTCCACCCAGAGGCAGTTGTAGCCAGTCCATGCCTGCTTTCCTCTTCCTCTCCAACTCCTCGCTTGTTTTTCCAGCCAAACCTGGACCTCCTTCTGCCTATCCGTTAGGTCATCTGAAATGTATACTCCCCATCCTGAATTTGTCAGCTTCGACTTCGCTTTCATCACGTCTCTGTTGTGTTGGAGCTCCTCCATTCTAGTCTTCCATCTTCCTCCTTTTAGCCTCTCAAGCCTTTCTACCCTCACCTGCAGGGTTGGGCAGGTATAATACATTTTGTATAATACGAATGTAACACGTGTATAATACTACGTATTATACGGACGAGGTTTTTGACATTTAGTTCATGTATTATACATACAGATGGCGCTAGGTTCATTTGACAACTCGTACCTGTATTGATAATACAGTATCACTGTATCGATAATTCAGTATTCACTGATACCAGTGATATCAGTGATACATCAACGTTACGTAAACAGTATTTCCACTTGACGTTTTTGGACGCATAACCTCTATTTTATTTCCTATATGTCTCTCGGAAACGTGAAATTTCGATCGAAAATTCTTACTTCGAATTACCATTTATAATTATTTTTGAATTGTCTTTCTCAAAATCGTTTTTCTATCAATCGAAAGTCGTTATGTCTCGTGGAGGACGACCTCCACATAATTATTGGGTTGTTGGAGAGTATAAAAAAATCAAGAGAGGCACCAGAACCCTCGCCTTCTGTTCATATTGCCAGAAAACTCTTGCCAATACATCAAAAGTTCGATTGATGGATCACAGGTAAAAATTTTATTCTTATAGTCGGACATACATATTACTGAGTGTAGGATCGAAGTATTTTTGTACTAAAAAAATCATTCCACAGAAACACCTGTCGACTTATAAATGAGACATCAGAACTGGACCAGTCATTTGGAGAATTCGAATCAATGGCATCTTCAGTTTCTAATTCTATTTTTACCCTATTTATTTTTAAACTATTTTTACCCTGCCAAATGCCAGCATGGGTACAAAATATGTATGTATATTTATTAATTATTCTATTCTTTCTTTTTTTTTTTGTAAGTTTATGACGAATGGGTGGTGTTTAATAATCATCGAAAAAAAACAATGAATGATATGTCATTTTAGGTTTTATCAGAGACTGAAATGTCTAGATCAGACCGAATTATTCTTCATGAAGTCAGTTCTGTGCTCTCTCAACCTCGGATTCAATCTCAGCCGAATCGTCCAAAACCCAGAGCGAACTCCAAAAAAAAATGAACAACCGATACGACCTTTCGTCGATCACCTATCAGACTCGGATAAAACGAAGATTAATCATAAATTGGTTGAGTTTCTATGTGGATGCAATATCGACTTTACAGTTGTAGAATCGTGCCATTTTAAAAAATTTATAAATGCCTTACGACCAGCATACGAAATATCTTCTGAAGATGTTATAAGCGGCGATATTCTCTCCTCAGTCTACCATGAACTGATTAACTCCTCTCTAGACTCATCTTCAGATCAAGTAGTTTCTGAAGGAATTTTGACATTTTCAACGCAGGAACATTCCGACAATTGCAAACATGTAATTGCAATATTACACCATGTTACCAGGGGGAAATCATTTATAGGATCCTGGTCATTATCGTCATTTGGAAGTGATTTAAGGACATTTTTGTCTGAGGCAATTGAATTAGCAAGAAGGAAGTTCGGCATGGCCATATATGCAATCATTGCCGGCAAAGAACTTGATTTCTCTGCTTTAACGATTGAGGATATTCAGTGGTCATTGAAATGTCAGACTGCAACAGCCACGAATTTGAAGAGCTTACCACTAGATGCTGAATTCTTGGTACCACTAAAAAACGTTTTGGAAGCTTTCAATACTTCAGAATTGAAAGAGGCACTCATCAAATGTGGGGGAACATCCTATCATTTAGAGGATAATCATACATCTCATTTCAGTGAAAGAGACATGTTTAATGCTTATCTGAAAAATCTAACAATAATGAAGCAGATCATAGCCGAAGGAAAATTTCGTTTCAGCCATGATATCGTGAAGATATTATTCGATAGTGAGTTTTCCACAAAATTAGATGAGTTCTTCGCAGTATACGAAAACTTTTGTGTAATGGTTATCAAACTTGAAACGTCGTCGACTACAACAGCCGATGCTGCTGAAGAATGGTTAAGATTTGAAACAATAGTGGAAAATCATTCTGAAGGCATTATAAAGCAAGAGATTGATCATATTCTTTCACCCATTTTATTAACGGCCCATTTTCTAGATCCTATGTACAGAGGAAAACGTTTCGAGAACAATTCTATACGTATGGAAGTAGTCGTTGAGTATTTAATAGACGCGTTGGATCAAAAGGCTCTCAATGATTACTACGAATTTGAGCAAAAGAAGGGGCTCTTTGGAAAGTTAATGTCGAAAGAAATTGAAAGTGCTGAAAAATTTTGGAGTTTTGCGAAAACAAGATATCCTTCGCTTACTCAATTCGCTTGTAAATTAATTCAAATACCAGCGTCAGTATACAAAGAAACACTCTTACCAGTCTGTCGTAGTAATTTGAATATTGATGATTATAAAAAACGAGTAGAAATGTATCATAAATTGAAATTTCAAGACGAACATTCCAGTGATAAATATTAGAATTTTCTTTTTATTGTTAAATCATCGTCGCAGACGATTCGTCGTAAATATTAATACATATTATTCGTGGTCAATATTTGTTGATTAAATATAATGAACCTCAGCACATAAGTGCAGTCTGTGATACGTAAGAAATTTGGTCTTCAGCCATTGAGTACTTTTTATTGTTAAGTCATCGTCTCAGAGAATTCATCTATAGTATAATATTCGAGTCAGCATCAAAAAGCTCTGCGTA